TATAATTTGTCTTTAAAGGGTCTGGTGAAAGATTTAAAGCGAACGAATGCGCTACCATTGTCATCACACATACTATAACCTGAAAAAGTAAGCGATGCAGTCGATTCTCGGTGCTGTGAGCTCAGATTTACTGCGCTAGATCTCAATGTGCCTCTACTATATACAACCGCAGAATCACGACCCTATATTTCATAGCTTTAGCATAGGGGTTGGCGGATCTTAAACCAGGAATATGGGAAATGCGTTTACGGGTGGAGTTGACGAAACAGAATTTGGTGGAAGGGCTGAGGAAAAACCTGGCCTAAAAAAGCTTTAGATACTTCACCGCTCTGCTTCGACCGTTCTATGAGGGCATACGACTACGAGAATAAACCGTTTACGTATATGCCCTGATTCTCGGCGTCACCTCTGACCAACCTAACCAAACTGTGGATCCAATATTTAGCTCATTATAGTAATATATAAGCAATGAGAATGACACTTATACCATTAAAATTCGTACGTCCATTGATTGAATTTGAGATAGAGCCGGATAAAGAGAAGTTTTTCAAATCCAACTTAAATTGACGCTAAGTTGAAAACTTAAGTCAGTCGGTTCGATTTGTTGAATCAGTTTGTCAAGCTGGTTCGCTAACTATGGCTGACCACCACAGTACATCGCGTCGGTAAAAAAGAGAGCGGCTGAGGTTGGCTGGCGATCAGAATAGATATACACCACAAAGGCTTATCTATGTGGGCGCGCCATCATCCTGGTGACTTGGTTGAAATCAGATGAGCATCATTCAGGACGTCGCTCATGTCCCCATCGAGATGAGTGTACGATTTCCTGCACGCAGGCGACATTTTGGTGGTCAAGAAAAAATACTAATGCAGAATAAACAGAGTTGTAAGCTAGTCTTGTGTTACAGTTAGCTGTGTGTATGTGTGTTTTTTTGAGTAGTCGTCGCATTCCTTGAACAGGAGACACTAAATAATGGATCTATAGTAAACATGCATATACATACACTCCGTCAAAGTGACGCTATTCTAATCTCTCAGCGTAACAGTTGACCGTGAAGCAACATGTAGAAGAACACTAACCACACAATGTGAAGAAGTACATTGATAAAATGCTATCAAAAATGATTTAAAAAAATTATAATATTTTATTATTATATATCCTCTAAACAGACATACACACACGCTTTTACACGAGCATTTATAATCAGTGTATCCATTAATAACATCCGTATATTGTATGAACGATGGCAAGACTGATTAATAGAAGCCAATAGTTTATCGCCGATCCCCATTATTTGGCCCCAACAATATCATGCTCTGGCTGGACGTAAGTGGGGTCTGTTAGAGTTCAGGGGTCACGATCTGTTAGGTCCAGCAGTGGCCTGGCGGAACGAATTATGTCTGTGTTACAGTACCACGGATACGAACCGAAATCAAAGAAAAAAACATGATGTTGACTGTTGATCAGGGCTCGCGCTCGTGAGCAACACTAATAAATCTGTTTCGCATATATAATAATAGAAGAGACCCGGATGCAGTGTCAATGTCTCGGACGAACCCCGGAAAGAAATTTTAGCACTGGCGTCTAGTGGATGTTTTGGTTCGATCATTCTTCTCTAATGAGGATGTTCACAAAAAAGAGAAATAAACGCCTACAACGATGAAAAAATATCGACCGATATTTAATGGTCAACACAGAACAATCGATTGAATGGGCAAATTCGACCAGCGTACTCGAGTGTGCGTATTTTATGGCCGATTGCTTTCAATCAGTCAATTCTTTGGCGTGGAAAGCTTCTGTGATCTGCACGGTGCAATGTCTTTCTACACGAATATAATTATCTATCAATAAACTAGTTATTCCTATTGCTCCTCGAATTTTTTTACTATGATAAAGGTTATCATTCGTATTATCACAAACAACATTACTCTTCGCGTGACTGTATTACGTGCTCCGCAGTATTTTCAGCAGTGCCTCACCCGTGGCCATACAAGACTCTAGCACCCATTCCTATCGCGATGGCTTTGTATTAAAAAAAAACCGTAACAAAAATGACGATGCATAAGGAAGAACCACTCTGAATTAGCAGTAGCGGCGACGACGACAACAACAACAATTACTACTACAAGTACAACAACACAGAAAAAAAATCCAAACGAATCAGACAGCTGACTGCTAAATATCTGTTCGAGTGGCCATTTGCAATTGTCAGATTATTCATTACTGTATATTAATACGATTATATATATACTTCTTATAAACACGACCGTTGGTGATCAAGTGTGGACACACGTACGTAGCCTAAAATAAGCATTTAATAAACGATACCTTGGAAAACAGACGACACTGTTTTGGGAGAGCGAATACTGGGATAGCTTATGACGCCGTCCGACACTTGAACCTACCGGCGATGGCCAGGTCGCGGACCTCGATCGGAAAGTACTTCTGTTTTCCTACTACAGTGTCCCAAAGTTCGATAGAAAGGAGTGATTCAATCATGCGAAACAACCATGTCGGAGCAACGTGCATATGGAATGCATATTGTATCATGAAGCGTGCTAGTACGCAAAGGTTTGATGAACGGGACGGACACGAGCCTATCCTATACCCACGTGTCAACAAACAATAGACTAATGGCAAGCAAGAGTATCAAAACACGACTGGTTAAACAGTAACGACACATACACACACACACATATTAGACCCATGTAAGATTTTCTGTTGTGCTGCAACCTATATATATATATATATATAAGGTAGTACCAGAGGTTTTTGCATGATGTTAATCGTTAACGTGCTCTGTTCCGTTTCTGGGAAACGAGGAAAAAAGGCTTGCAGTATTTAACGGACGCATACACTCTCCACGGCAAAGCAAAACAAACAAAAGTGGTAACGCGTACGATCACCTATAAACCCCAAGTTGAGACTGATGTAAAATATCGTTAAACTAGCTAAGATGGCTTGATTTTGATAAGTTCCACGAAAGCATCTCATATAATGTAATAGTGTACATATTATATCGGACAGACTTTCTATGATCATTGGTTTCTGTTGTACTAACTATTTCTGAGTGCTAACTCATTGTGGTAAGTTGATCTGAGCTAGATTCATAGCTCGACAGATCATTCATTCTGCTTACATTGTGGTGCCGTTTTACTTTTTTAGGCTGTTATAATAATGAGTTCAAGATTCACCTGCCGTAGCACGGTAAGCTAGATCAGATCATTCAAACAAGTTCAATCTTCCACTTTCTCCAAAATGAATGGTCCTCAATGATTGTGTCTCTAGTGCTTGATGGATAGAAAAGCCATGCTACGCCTTGAATGAGCTGAAAACATAAAAATAGAAACAAACTCTGCTAAATCTACCGATGCAGTCCAGGCCTCCATAAGATCCGCACTCGACGAGCGCTACCCAGTTGACAATCGCACGCCTTTAGACACGTATTCAGGATTATGGACTCATATAGCTACATACTTGAAACGCCGTAGTAACATATAATGATTACTATATGACCGCTGTACGTCGATTGTACGTTGTTGGGTATTTGTATTGAGACATCCTTGGCGAAAC